TTAAAAAAAATTTATTTTATTATTTTTGTGTACGTGTACCGTCAAATCAGATCTGACAGGTACAGGAGGAGATTGTCCCTCCTTCCCCGGCAGAACATCTGGTGAATTCGAACCATGCACCTCTGGGATTGTAGTTGCAGCTCCTTGCCACTAGGCCACCAGAGCTCCAATGCCCTAAAGATTCTAATGTGCCATGTTGTTGTTGTTGTTAGGTGCTATCAAGTACCACCAATAGTGACCCAAAGAACAACAGATCTGAACTCTGTGCTATCCTGCGCCAGCTGCACAATATCTGACACACTTGAGCCTGTTGCTGTAGTTATATGTTGTTGTTAGGTGAGATTCCACCTCGCGTATTTTGGGCAAGTAGCCAGAAAGGGCAAGTCTTTGTAGGAGAATATCATGCTTGGAATAGTTGAGGAACAGCACAGGAGAGGAAGAACTCAGATAAAATGGATTGATACAATAACCGGGGTAATGGGAATAGGTGTGTTGGAGATGGTGAGATTGACTCAAGATAGAGCAGGGTTCATAGCTATTGTGCATAGGCTTGCTGTGAGCCAGAAGTAATTTGATGGCATTCAGCAACAACAACAACAAATACAATACAATATGTAATATAATGTTGGTTGACTCAGTCTGTTTGAGAATCATGATATCATGCAAGAGGAAAAAAAAATTCCTCACTTTAAATCTAAAATAAGCTTTGGTCTCTAAAATCTGCATGAAAAACATACTACTAGGTTGATAGTTGTTCCTTAATCATGAAAAGTTATATAAGCCATAAGAGATGTAGAGTCACACATTATGGTTCTAAAGTATGTCTTGTCAAGATCCTTCGTTTGAAAACCGGGGTAAAGAATTTTAAATGGATTATTTAGAAAAGGACAGGTCTAACTTCTTTAACTATAAACTATCTCTAAAACAATTATGGACCACAATTTTAACTATCACAAATCAGTGTCTTAAAATGTCTAAATTTAATCTAGCCATTCATCCATGGCTCGGAACCCAGTACGGAAGCCTCTCAATAGGACATCTCTGTCAGTTTGGATCACGAGCATCAACCTGTCAAAAGTTCAGTTTTTTATCTTCCCACCTGATTTTCCATATCTTCACTGGTGACTGTCAATTAGAAAACACAGCTGCAGATCCTACCTTAGGCACCATATGGGTAACACTAGTGAGCCTCAGTCATGTGTCTACACAGACTTGTTTCTGCTCCCCAAAATCTACCAAGACTTGGACCACTCAGTGCCATCATGGGGATCTTTGGAAAATCAAGACAAATGCCACAAACAGATTCTGCTCAATCTGAACATCCCAAGTGTGTTATATTCTAGCTTTTCTTACTAATAAGTGAATTTACCCCAACACTTTAACCTCCTCTATTTGTGTTATCCACCTCAAATCCCAGCTGAAGTGTGAAAAAACCTAAACATTAACATATATATTGGCACCACAATTTGGTGACCAGCCTCAGCTCTTAATCCCAACTGACTTTTTTTTTTAACTTGGCTAGCTCCTTTTTCCATGTTTCTAAGTGATTGGTGTAGACTTTTATCATTCTTAATCTCCCTGCTTAACTCCTAATCCTCACTCTCAATGAATAAATACTGCTTGAATGATCTCTCTAGAGGTTTTTTTTAAAACTAGCCTTTATTTCCTATGTTCATTGAGTCACTAATATATAAATTCTACCATCCAATCATTTTTCAAGGGAGCTCTGGTGGACTAGTGGCAATAATTGTGCTGCAATCCTGAAGGCACGCAGTTTGAATCTACCAGCTCCTCCATGGGAGAAAGATAGGCAGTCTTGTATCATGGGACTAACTGCTTCAGAAAACCTGCTTGGAGGGTCAGCTATGGATCAGTTCCAACTTGATGGTATACAATAACAACAACTGGTGGCCTAGTGGTAAGAAGTTACACTGCAATCCCAAAGACATGTGGTTCAAATCCACCATCTGCTCTGTGGGAGAAGAATGGGCAATCTCCTCCCTTGTGTGCCATTAAATTGCCTCTGAAAACCCACGAGAGGGTCAGCTTTGGATCAGTTATGACTTTATGGCACACAACAACAGCACCACCACAGTCATATTCAAAGTACTACCCTCTCTTCTTCTGTCCCTCCCTGCCTTAGTTAAAGCCCTCATTTTCTTTACCTAAAAGATGATCCCTTATCTTCCTATCTTCTGTGGTCCTCCTATCTACTGTTTTATTCTTTAACCATTAACACTGTCTTGAAAATAATTTATCTAAATTCCTGAGTCTGATTCTTTCCTACTTACACACATTTCACTTAATAGCATTCCTTGACAGGTCAGTATGCAAAAACGTAAAGGTATTTAAATCAAATGTTCAAAATAAAGGATATAAGTCCTATAGAGCCGTGTCCTTGTCTATTTTTTGTTTTCTCATCACTCTATAACCACATGCCCTACAGCCAAACTTAAAGGAGTACATGATCTGCCCAAACACTACATACTATTCCTGGTCTGACTTCCATTGTATTTATCATTTCTTCTTTCTTGTCAACTCAGAAGGAAAGGTAAGGCTATTGAGGAAAGCTCATGACAGAGGGCATATTGACTTATTTATTCATTGTGATAATTTATTTATTCTATACCACTGAGACTCTGCTGTGTACCAGAAACTATTTTGGGCCATTGGAAGCAGAGGTGGCAT